ATTTATATAAACATAAATATATGTATAATATATAGTATAGTATATAACATATATGTATAATAGTATACTATATACTACATACTATATGCTATATTACTATATTACTATATACTATACACTATAACATATTATTATAACATATTACTATATACTATAAACTATAACATATTACTATAACATATTATGTATAATTGTACTAATTCGAGTTCAATTGTACTAATTCGAGTTCAAAATTGTACTAATTTGATTTCGATTTCTTTATATTTGACTTCAATTGTACTAATTCGAGTTTAATTGTACTAATTTGACTTCAATTTCCCGGGTTCGAGTTCAATTGTACTAATTTGATTTCGATTTCACTATAATTGACTTTAATTGTACTAATTCGAGTTCAATTGTACTAATTTGAGTTCAATTGTACTAATTTGATTTCGATTTCACTATATTTGACTTCAATTGTACTAATTCAAGTTTAAATGTACTAATTTGACTTCAATTATACTAATTCGAGTTCAATTGTACTAATTCGAGTTTAATTGTACTAATTCGAGTTTAAATGTACTAATTTGACTTCAATTGTACTAATTCGAGTTCAATTGTACTAATTTGATTTCGATTTCACTATATTTGACTTCAATTGTACTAATTCGAGTTTAATTGTACTAATTTGACTTCAATTGTACTAATTCGAGTTCAATTGTACTAATTTGATTTCGATTTCACTATAATTGACTTCAATTGTACTAATTCGAGTTTAATTGTACTAATTTGACTTCAATTGTACTAATTCGAGTTCAATTGTACTAATTCGAATTTAATTGTACTAATTCAAGTTTAAATGTACTAATTTGACTTCAATTATACTAATTCGAGTTCAATTGTACTAATTCGAGTTTAATTGTACTAATTCAAGTTTAAATGTACTAATTTGACTTCAATTGTACTAATTCGAGTTCAATTGTACTAATTTGATTTCGATTTCACTATAATTGACTTTAATTGTACTAATTCGAGTTTAATTGTACTAATTCGAGTTCAATTGTACTAATTCGACTTCAATTGAACTAATTCGAGTTCAATTGTACTAATTCGAGTTCAATTGTACTAATTTGATTTCGATTTCACTATAATTGACTTTAATTGTACTAATTCGAGTTTAATTGTACTAATTCGACTTCAATTGAACTAATTCGAGTTCAATTGTACTAATTCGAGTTCAATTGTACTAATTTGATTTCGATTTCACTATATTTGACTTCAATTGTACTAATTCGAGTTTAATTTCACTATATTTCGATTTCATCATAGTATAGATTATAAGAAAAAATCTTATATTGAACTTGAAAATATCTTTTCAGATATAGATTCAGTAGAAGAAAAAACCTTCTGTGAGTTAACACCTCTAGAAGAACACTGGGCTATAGATATAGCTAAAGGAAAAATGATAATAGGAAATAAAAATCCTATACATGTTAAGGAAAATTCTTTGATTATAGGAGAATCAAGGAGATTATCAGTCTCGGAGAAACGCTCTCTAGCTGATATGTCGGAAAGAATAGATAATTTATCCAGTATGTTAAAACAATTAACGGGATAAAACATCTAAAATGACAAATAGCAAAATGCTATTGCCACACTCTTGGGGCACTACCCATAAGGGTAACATCGAATCTACCCACTTTGTGATTTGAATCGTCATATATGCACGAATTTTTCTTTTTATTTTTTTATTTTTTATTTTATGGGTGACTTATTGCAATGGGTCATCGATGAAAATGGTCGAAGTTCATTTCAGTCTGAATCATTCTATTCAAGAAAAACAAAATTAAAGAGGCATTGCTCGCCCAAATCTCTCCTTCTCGATCACTTCTATCTGATTGTCTCAAATTCCAAACCTTATTAAATATAAAGTTCATTATTTTCGTTTATTTAGTTAATTAACGCTCCCCTTAAGAGACTTCCAATCATGGCGACCCTGATCGAGTCCAGATTTACTTCGGGTCGGGCCAAATGTAGCATTCGAATTCCACACTCAAATATACACTTTCATTTAATGATTCAGTCAATTGTCTTTTGCAATTATTGTTTTTCATGGAACACATTTAATTCACGTTATGTCTCGTTCACATTGACAAATGAACCTATAGCAAATATATAAATCCTGCGCTTATTTTTTTTTTTTTTTAAACAAACATCAAATTTTCATAACCAAAACTTAAGAAGTGTACAACCGATTAACCAACGGGTTACAATAGCAAACTTCCCACAAACAGGAATTAAAAACTCGAGTGCAAGAGGAGTTGACAACAGACTCCCATAAATCCCGCGCTTATGTTGATATAATTTGTATCAATGAATTGTACAAGAGTAATTATAACAGTAACTACTAATTTAATTCAAATTTGATATACGTTACTCCAGAATTTTTTGTTTTTCTAATTAAGGTAGTAATCAGACATGGGCATTGGACATTATTCATAAAACCATATTTGTATTGGGCTTTGGGTTCAACTTCGGTTACGTCCAAAATTCTCGTTAGTTGTGTTGTTAATTGTGTTCATACTGCAATAACTTCAAACAGCTTTTTATTTATTTATTTATTATAATCTTATGGGATCAGTTATGGACACCAAGCCTACACAAGAGATTGTATCCACTTATGATACTTAAGTCTTATCGAGCCACATTCTGCCTTGTGAGAATTTGAGAAAAATATCTGATGTATTAGTCACAAAGAAAAATACAAATATATATAGATACATTGATGGGTCTTAACTTAAATTGAGCCTAAACCTAGCCTATAGTACAATCTCAATATTTACATAACTAACACCCTCCCTCAAACTCAAGGTGGAATCTGGAGATCAACTTGAGTTTGATAAAAAATAAACAAAAGCCCTCAAACTCAAGGTGCTATCGTGGAGATCAACTTGAGTTTGCTAAGAAGTAAACAAAAGCGACCAGGAATGAGAGACTTCGTGAAGACATCCGCTGGTTGATCTGTAGAGGAAACGGGAAAAGTCCATATGAAGCCCAAATGGGGTTCCATTCCAAAACCAATTGGGCTTCGAAAGCCCAACCCCAACTGGGCTGGGTGACGGGTACATCATCGCACGGTCACCAGCAGAACCTGGCTCTGATACCATGACAGAAACTAGGGAAAAAACGGGTGCGGGCCCACTACCATGAAGCGCACCATAGGAAAACGAGAAAAGCCCATATGAAGCCCAAATGGGGTTCCATCCCAAAACCAATTGATGGAATGAGGAGTAGCACATTAGACTTATAAAGTGGATTTATTTTCCATGTTTGAACGATGTAGGACAACTCATAAGTGATATTTTAACACGCTCCCTCACTTGTGAGTCATTCGAAAGCCCAAACCCAACTAGGCTGGGTGACGGGTACGTCATCGTACGGTCACCAACAGAACCGGCTCTGATACCATTTGAGAATCTGGAAAAATATCTGATGTATTATTCACAAAGAGGAGTACACATATATATAGATACATAGATGGGTCTTAGCCTAAATTGGGCCTAAACCTAGCCTATAGTACAATCTCAATATTTATATAACTAACATGCCTTAGATATATATAGATTTGTAAATAAGTCGAATTGAGCTCAAGCTCCTGATACTCGAGCATTTATCGAGCCGATAGTCAAGCTCAACTCATTAAATTAAAGAGCTAATAGACGAGCTCGAAGTCAGCTTCTGAGCAAATAAAACTCGAATTTTAACAAACTAAATTATACCATTACATAAAATTTCTTATTTATCAAGCTTAACAAACTGAGTCGAGCTAAAAACAACTCTACCTTTAGTTAACATGTAAACACACTACAAGTCTTTCGAAGTCTACTCAAACCCTGGCCCATATGTAATTAAGAGAGTTACCATCCATCATAAATTACTAACACCTTGTCCACATATAATGTCCAAAAAACAATTAATACAATTTTCCTAAAGGAAGAAAAGCGAAAGAATTATTATAAAATGTAGTGTAGTGTCCTAATTTGAAGTTTTAATTAAGGAAAAAGTGGGTACCATTTAGTGACCGGCACACAAATTTCATTATGTGCACGTAACATAAAACAATAGATAAGAAGTTACTTGTGGGATTTGGAGTATATTGTATATATTCGTGTTAGTTCTTAGCTAGATCTATAGCAATGACCAAATCACCATATAACTTGGAAGTTTAGTGGTCTTACTATCTTAGTTGTTCATGGTAATTTAGTATAATTTTGATTTAAATTGACATTATACGAAAATGTTAAATAAAATTGAGCAATTATGGATATGTGACATGTAAGCTTCTTCGTGGATAAAAACTCTAGCTTTGCCGAATTTGTGTCACACATTTTCTTTTTTCAGATGTAGATCTGAAAGATTAATCACAAAAAGTGGGGCCAAATTAAATACTGTTCTAATTTGCTATTTAAAAAGAAAATACCCTAGTTTACCACAACTATTAAAAAAAATAATAATAAAAAACAAAGAATACAAGAAAACTGAATTTCAAGTATGTCAAATAATAATAATGACAGAGAAAAATTACTGTCTCATTTTATCAAATTTCCTGAAAAAAATAAACGCGTGATACTACCAACTATTAATTTCATATGACCTTTACACTACATGTGAACCAGAGTCAAGAGAACCAAAACACAGTAAATCATATGTAATAAATGTGACAGATCATGAAAATCACTCTTGAATATACTCTCAAAGCAAAACAAAATATAAAAAATAAAAATAAAAATACTAATTATCATACCAAGTCAAATGTACAGACTCATGAGATACGGCCTTCACAGGACCAAACTCTTAGACTAGACTTTTTATGGTTCCCTTTTGCTCAAATTCTTGAATATGTCTTCTTCCTCTTCACCTCCTCAATTTAATATTAGCACATTACATTTCGATATCCTCTGAGCACGTAACATTTTGTCTTAAAATTTAATAATAATATTTGTTCGATTAATCGGAAAATCATGGCTGCAAGCACAAATCGCTCTCTGCAAGAGACTCCGACTTGGGCTCTTGCCACGGTTTGTTTCGTCTTCATCTTCTTAGGCATTTTTATCGAGCACTTGATCCACCTGTCCGGCCATGTAAGCACATTATTCGAACTCTACATTTTGTACAATATAGCTTTTTTTATATTGTTTTAATTTTTTTTTTATTTTATTTTATTTTTAGTTGCTCAAGAAACATAAGAAGGTCGCACTCTCTGAAGCAACAGAGAAGCTGAAATCAAAAAAATCGAACTTTATTGTTTTGTATTCTTTTTGCGTACAGTGTTGATGCAGTTGGGTTTCATGTCGCTCATATTAACAGTCACTCAAAAGCCGATATCGAAAATTTGTGTGCCGAATAATCTAGCCAATCGCATGCTTCCATGTCATAGGCAGGTAGGATTAGGAAGTAAGGCTGTAAATGGTGTGAAGCATTTGTGGGTTTCATTCGGCGAACAGAACCAAATGCCACGCGCAAACTTTAAGGATTTTATTAATTTTCCGGATCATCGTGTAAGAAGAGAACTTGCAGCTGCAGCTTCATATTCACCAGATTATTGTGGCTCTAAGGTTATATATCCAAACTTTTTTTAATAATATTCTTGATTTTGTTATTATATATAGTTGTTATTACCATGTTTGTAACAATTTTAACTGCAATTTGTTTATTGAAGCCTATCGACATTTCGAAATATACCGGTTAGATTATTATATATTAATGAAATATTATTTATACATGGTTTTGGACAGGGAAAAACATCGTTGATTTCGGAACAGGGGATAAATCAGCTCAACATACTCATATTTGTTCTTGCAGCAATGCAAATTGTTTATAGTGTGGCTACAATGGGGCTCGGAAGAGCAAAGGTAGCGCCTTTTTTCGTGCTTAATCTTAGCTAATTATCTCTTCCAATCTTTCGTAATTAACGCTTAATTAGCGGCTTAACTCATTGTTTGCAGATGAGAAGGTGGAAAATCTGGGAAAAGGAGACACAAACAATAGAGTATATGGCGCAAAACGGTACCATTTTTAAGTGACACGATTTGTTAATTTCTGTTTTCGTTCTATATTATTTGAAATGAAATTAGGCTAATTATGTTCTTGATTCATGCGTGAATTTTTTTTTTTGAAAGATCCCGAAAGATTCAGACTCACGAGACAAACGACATTCTGGCAGCGACATGTCGGGAGTTGTGCTACGAATCCCGCCCAACTTTGGATTGTTAGTGATTATATTCTCATGAAACTTTTACCTTAAATTAATAAAATAATAATAATAATAATAATAATAATAATAATAATAATAATAATAATAATAATAATTCAGTATCCTCTTCTTGATATATAACTTAATGCTGTCTAAATTTCGGTATAGAAATGCTTCTTCCGGCAATTCTTCAACTCTGTGGCTAAAATCGACTACTTCACTTTGCGACATGGATTTATTTCGGTTAGTTCTGTTAGTTAACATTCTCCATTTTATATATATATTATCGCTTTCTTTAACGTGTTGTGCCATTTTTTCTTTTCTTTAGACACATTTATCGACCAACACTTCGTTCAATTTCTTAAAGTATATCCGGAGATCATTGGAAGATGATTTCAAAGCTATCGTTGGTATAAGGTGTGTAACAATAATCAATTCGACTGTATATATATGTATATATCATAAGTTTAGATCTAACTGTTTCCTTTTTTTTTTTTTAATTGTATGGATCATCAGCCCTACAATGTGGTTTACAGTGGTCGTGTTTTTGCTAGTCGATGTGCACGGTAAAAAGACTTCCCGGTTTTTACCTTCCGTTACGCAATGTATTTTCCTAATAGTCTCGATTTTTCGATTTTATGATAGGTTGGAATATGTACCTGTGGGTTTCACTTTTGCCACTGACTGTAAGTACTAACTATATGAATCTGTGCTTTCTGCGCAAAATTTGCTATAAATATAAATTTATTGTTATATTATATTTGTTATTCTATCCCGATTAATAGATTGTTCGTAAGAATTTTGTAGATAGTATTGTTCGTCGGGACTAAACTGGAGGTGATAGTGGCGAGAATGGCCGTGCAATTAACCGATCGAAACACGGTAATTAAAGGAAGCCCTTTGGTTCAACCGGACGATAGTCTCTTTTGGTTCAGCCGGCCTCAGCTCGTTTTGACATTGCTTCATTTCACTTTATTCATGGTAACATATATATATCTAAATCACTTTTTTTTTGTTCGTATAATGTGTCGTTTTTGAACAGCACGTGTACAAAAATGACATCATAATGTTTTAACATTTCTTTTGTAATTATGGACAGAACTCATTTGAACTTGCTTTCTTTGCTTGGGTCACGGTACATATTTTTTCCCAATCTTACTTNTTTCCTAACACACTTTCATGAGTGACCAATTATAAGTGATGTTATGAACTGATTTTTGCAGTGGCAATTTGGGATCAAATCCTGCTACCATGAAAATTGGGGGATTATTATTGTCAGGATTGTATTAGCGTGAGTATGATGAATTCAATAGCTATTTCATAAGATTAGAAAATAAAATGTTTTGTTAAAAAACAAAATGAAATATTACAACTAACACAACTAAATAAATGATTGATATTTTGCAGGGTTATGGTGCAAGTCATTTGCGGTTACATAACTCTTCCTCTCTATGCTCTTGTTACTCAGGTTATTTATATTCTTATTAGCACTTTATTTTATCACATAAGTAGTAATTAATAATCTTATAAATGATTTTAACTAGAAGTATGCCCTGAATATGTTAATTTACTTGACATAAACACCTAACTTTTCTCCTAAAACATTAAATTTCAGTACCAACTTCTTGAAAAAATTCCCATATTAAGAAAAATCCAATCCTACTACCCAAAACCGAGTTTTTTAGCCGTTAGATTAACACACACTCGTGTGGATATGTGTGTGAGTGTGTGAGATCCAACAGTAAAAATCCCACATCGATTTGCCATTATTCTCACCCAAACAAGATCCATCAACTTTCAATATCCATAAAACAATCATTCATCCAACACATGCTAACGTGCCAAACAGCTTCAAAAACTCACAACAACAAACAAATAACAAAGTTTTCATGATACTTCAAACATTTTTTCAGATGGGGTCTCAATACAAGAATGCAATACTCGAGGAACACACATTCCATGCAATCAAACAATGGCACGCGAACGTGAAGGAGAAGAGAAAGAAACCAAATAGCTCGATTCAAGATACAAATAATCCCGACTCGAGTCTCTCTCCCCACAGACAAACACCGACTCTTTCAGAATTCAGTTCGCGTGGTGGGCCCACCACCCCACACGAGATCACGGAGATTTCGGAAGTTGAATTAACCCACGATAATAATAATAATATCCAAATGCATGATGATGGAAGATTGTAATAAAGAGATTTGTCCCAAGAAGTAATAAATATTAATACTTACCACATTGTCTTTTTTGTTTTTTTTTTTTTCACTCTTATTTAATATT